CGACACCCCTATACTACCCGCAACTCGTCGTTATGGCAACAAGAATTGAATCATGGACGGAGGTCAATGGAGAGCTTCTTCTTTCCAGATCAGATTGTTATACTCTGGGCCTGCTGCCTTGTAGTCTTTTGCTGAAATACCTCCTTGGCCAACAGCTTTCACTTTTCAGAGCATGGGTGGCTGCTATATAAACTAAACAAGTGTTGGTGCATTATCAAGATGATCATTGAAATGCTCTCTCCACTTGTTCCAGATTCCGGCCTTAATACTATTTTTGGTCTAATGCCACGAGATAGTCCATATATCTTTTTGTAGCTGCTAAAAAGGCTCTGCGGGTGATCATAGTGATCGGGGAAATGTTACTTAAGAAATAGTAGGCCTAAATAATTACAAAAGAATGAACATATTCGCCATGAAAATAGGCCAAAAATTGTTGGCACGCAGCAGCCAACTAATATAGGTCGATAATTACCAAACAATTGCTCAGCATAACACCCTATTTTTTCAGATATGTGTCCAGACTGCACGCCTGCCATTTCGTTGCACGTTGCATGTCGCTTTGATCTACAACGTGAGTAATTACTTCGTACTGTTTTGTTATTTTTATGTACAGTAACAGTAGTTAATTATCTTCACGCACCAAATGAGTTTTGAGTGCCACCGATCTGAATGTGCATGTTGGAATAAACACTCTTTATGTATTGTACTGTCAGTGTTAGTGAAACAATTCATCCGAGTTCAGCGGAATGGCAATTATACACATTGTAGGCTGGCCCTTGAAAACAATAAGATATTTTGTAGTCTGGAATGCGCATGTTGGTACACAAGGTCAATCAACATAAAGCTATGTTGTGTGTATGTGGTGTATGTGTCGATGACCTTGATATCGGCATGCGCAGGTCAGACTACAAATGGCTTATTCCATACAGAGGCCATTATGAATTATTAATGAACTCTTGAGACAATGCCTTGAATGTTACCACATCAGCTATTTGAATAAATATATATCTCATTTACAGCTATGATTGTGGAGGTGCTAGATGTGAATGTGGAATCGACAGAGACACAAGTTGAAATAAATGTTCTAAGCCCTATGCGATCTAACTTTATATCTAATGGCAGTCAAATACAGTCTCTTCTTCGTTACGATCAAGACCCCTGCCAATGTCCACAAATATTACCCCTGAACTTGCCTTATCTTATGATACCGACTCTTTACATTGACAATGAGCCGACTCTGGACTCTGGATGTTACGTTGCAGAATTTGATAGCACACTAATACATATACTTAAAAACTTGATTGAATCAAATGAAGACTGCAACAAGTTTTTTGCCGACATCAAATCAAAACTTTACACCACTGGAAACAATACTACTGAGATAAACTAATTATAAATAATTATTAATTTTTGTACAACACTCAATAAAAAATGCTATTGTCAATGAGCATACCATGTAGTCTTATTTCTCCCCTTCTCCATACACACATCTCCAGTCAATTTAAAGAGGTATTGCATCACAGCCAACGCTATCATAGCCATGCATTCTGAATCTGGGAGAGATAATTAGCTGAATACACTCCTAGTTATTTATGTGTCCAGCAAAGCGGCTATACAGACAATTGAACAAATTATGCTAAACGTAAAACTGCAACACACATGATGAATTGTAATGACACTTAACAGCTAATTTTATGACAATCTTTATTAGCATAAGCTGGTTAATGGTGTATTTAAATGGCAGAAAGTACATATAAACAATCAAATATGAAAATACAATCTAAACATCAAGAAAATAATTACACGTGCAATGAAAGGTTAAGTCGGATTATCTCGCTTTTAAATTTAAATATATATAATTCTAAGAATAATTATCTAAATCAAGCTTATTAAACATACACATACTTTTTAAGAAATAAACTTGTAAATTGGTCATTTTAAGGACCCGAAGGCAAGTATCCACGACCCAAGTTGCGCTAGGTATGCCTGTATCTCACAAAGCCTTTATTTTAGTAGAACTTTTGATACGAAATTCCTACCTTTTCAATCATCAAAGTGTGAGAGCTTCTTAGTTGTGCTAACGCTTTAGGCTTTATTACATAAGTCTCATCCACATTAATGTACTTTCGGGGACATTGCATAGAAACGTAGTGTATCATGTGCCTTATACAGCGAGTCTAGTCTATACTTTACAGAATTTGCTCTAATCTTAAAGTGCCTTATCTGAAGTATCTTTCATTATGGAAATATTAGCGAAAATTATAGGCGAGGAAAAATTGATCGAAAGATAATAAGTAATTGCTGAAAATTTTAGAAAAATATTGCCATAAATATGGCCACATTTGTACTATTATGTTATATACGTCAAAAGAGTTATGGAGGCCATTAGCATTGGCTAATAACTAAATTAGGCCTACCAAATTAAGCAAACAATGTAGGGACGAGGTTACAATTTTTACCAAAAAAAAAATGGAATTCCTGAATCTCGCCTCGATTGTAAAAAGCCTTTATAAAAAGCCTTTATAAAAAGAAACTAGCGATGATTAACCAGGGCCGGCGGAACGTTTTTCAAAGTGGGGGCCCACTTATAAGATGAATGGGAATATGAATCATGCAGATCTGGAAAAACCTAGGGGATGGGGGTCAACATTTTTCCCAAAAAGGAAAGGGGATCCGGGGGTCCCCCCCCCCGGGAAATTTTAGATTTCTAGATGGCGGGAAATGACATTTCTCGAATTTTAAGCTAGGTTTCTAATGACTTTGTTCTTCGAAATTCAAGGTTTCCAAAGAATAGGGGGTACGGGGGGTCCTCCCCCGGAAAAATTTTGATATCTAGAAGGCGGGAAATGAGTTTTCCCGACTTCCGAGGTGTCTTTTAATTACTTTTAAGTTCTTCAAAATTCAAGGTTTTCCCCTCTTGAAAACAGTCAGGTAAATTTATCCCTGTTATTACAGTAGATAGGCCTTATGTGTGTATACATACATAAAAAAAAATGAGTAGGCCTAATTGCATACGATTTTTTTTCCATTAATCCATAAATCCCAAAAAGAAAGGGGAGTCCGGGGGTTCTCCCACAGGAAAATTTTGATTAGAAGGCGGGAAATGGGTTTTCCCGACTTCTGAGGTGTCTTTTAATTACTTTTTAAGTTCTTTAAAATTCAAGGTTTTCCCCTCTTGAAAACGGTCAGGTAAATCTATTGCATTGATATTAGAGTAGATAAGCCTTATGTATGTATACATACATAAAAAAAAAAAGAGTATTTGCATACGATTTTTTCCATGAATCCACAAATCTGAAAAAGAAAGGGGGTCCGGGGGCTCTCCCACGGAAAAATTTTGATTCTTAGAAGGCGGGAAATAAGTTTTCCCGACTTCTGAGATGTCTAAATTACTTTTAAGTTCTTTAAAATTCAAGGTTTTCCCCTCTTGAAAACGGTCAGGTAAATTTATCCTATTGTTATTACAGTACATAGGCCTTTTTACATAAAAAAAAAAAAAGAGTAGTTGCATACGATTTTTTTCCCATGAATCCATAAATCCCAAAAAGGGAAGGGGGTCCAGGGGTTCTCCACAGGGAAAATTTTGATTCCTAGAAGGCGGGAAATGAGCTTTCCCGACTTCGGAGGTGTCTTTTAACTACTTTAAGGTCTTCAAAAGTCAAGGTTTTCCCCTCTTGACAATTATTATAATGAATCAATGAACCCAAAGAGAAAACGGAGGTTCAGGTTCTTCCCGGGAAAATGTTAATTTCTAAATGGTGGGAAATGAGCTTTCCCGACTTCTGAAGTACCGTATCTTATAGCGATTTTAATTTAAGTTCTTCAAAACGGTTAGGTAATTTTTTCCCAATCCCAAAAAGAAAGGGGGTCGGGGGTTTCTCCCCCGGGAAAATTTTTATTCCTAGAAGCGGGAAATGAGCTTTCCCGACTTGTGAGGTGTCTTTTAATTACTTTTAATTTCTCCAAAAATCAATGAACCAATGAACCCCAAAGAAAAAAGGGGTCCGAGTTCCCCCGGGAAAATTTCGATTTCTAGAATTCGGGAAATGACCTTTACTGACTTCTGAAATGTCTTTTAAATGACTTTTTAAGTTCTTCAAAATTCAAGGTTTTCCCCTCTTGAAAACGGTCAGGTAAATTTTTCTCATTTTTTATTTTATGTGTGTATACATAGGCCTACATAAATAAATGAGTAGTTGCATGCGTATTCTTTTTTTCCATGAATCGATAAATCCCAAAAAGAAAGGGTGATCCGGGAGTTCTCCCCCGGGAAAATTTTAATTCGTAGAAAGCGGGAATGAGCTTTCCCGACATTTGAAGTGTTTTAATGACTTTTATGTTCTTTAAAATTCTAATTTTCGGATTGTATAACATAAAAAAAAAAAAAATCAGCTCACGGGTCCTGAAAAGGTAGGTCTAGAATTTTTTTTTCCGGTCACACAAAAATCTCCAGACATTATTTCCTGAATCTCGCCTCGATTGTAAAAAGCCTTTATGAAAAGAAACTAGCCATGATTAACTACTCTTTAATTGTGTTTCTGTAATGTCTACATTAGGGTGACTGGCAACGCATTCATGTACGCCTAACAGTAGGGTGACTGATCTTCGTCATCGTCAAGCTGCTCAATGTATGACCGTTTCCACAACTTTATATTCCCTTTATTATCGCGTCTTAAATATATCAAAGTGTTCGCGTTAAATGGGAACACATTAGGACAGTAACAGTCTCCCTTTTTCGCATCTTCTACTACCAAAGTAAGCGTTGAGGACTTTTGCAACTTTCGTGCTGGTTTTAACCATCTTCTGACGTCAATGCTAATCCTTATGTCAGCATCACCCACGGTTTCTGCGTCGATTACGCTCCCAATCACTGGTACAGCTAATGACAAAAATAAGGAATTGAAATAGTACATCAGGAAAAGTAATGATGATTTTTCAAAGGTGAATTTCAATCATAAAGTTGTGCATAATACTTGAGCTAACGAAAGTATTAAATTGGTATTGACGTGCTAGAGAGGAGGGTGAAGAGGACTCTGCTTTTCCACTAGCTATCATAACTATTGAGGGTCACAAAATGATCAGCTTCAGCTAGATGGACCACCCTCACAAAACATTGTTGAAATAAACTTTTATCCATAGCTCTTCCACATCATTTTAAGTTCATTAATTTTATTTATTTCACGCGTTTACCCTTTATATATATTGCTGTAGGCCTATTTTTGAATTGTCGGTGGTCTCGAATTGCAATTGATGGCGTTGGTTCCTCACGCTGTTTCTGTGTATGCTATCGTTAGCAGTTAGGCTTGATTCACGGTATTGCTTGTATTTGGGTCAACTCGTCTGAATTGCTCTAGTGTGAATTATAAGTACTAAATGGACAATAGACGTTTCCGGATCATCAATCAAACTTAGCAACAAACCAATACGCGTGTGTTGTCCAACAAACGCATGTGTTTGAGTAAGTTTTTGTCTTTTTGTGGGACGTTGACAACAATTAACGAAGGGGTTTGGCTTAGCGGAAGAGTCCATCGTCGTTATTTACCATGAGGTACCATTTCTCAATAGAATACTATTGACTGGCAGTCAACTTTCGCGATTTCGAAATACAAACATGTGAATTGGCAATAACCAAAGTAATTATACCTCCTTGAAAGTTAATAACATAGGCCTTATCGTATCGATTTTTTAAGTAAGTGTTTCAGTGTGTAACATTTGAGGGGTTTTCTGTATTACCGGTATATTTAGAAACTGAAATACCTCTACGATTGTCACACACTCCAGAAGGCTCTCGCCTGCAAGTCTTGTGTTTGCAAAATTGAATCTGAACACTCTCTGAAACTATAAAAAATATATCTGCTCGTGAAAGTGAAATAAATAAAATTATGCCAAATTTTTCTATACGAAATATCCAGTCTTAACGTTCGTATTATAAAACTTTAAATCACGTAAGCTTATCGGCTAATCCACTCGGTTTTAGGTGTGAGGGAAATACAAGTGGATATGTATGTCCTAGGAAAAGAAGCGAATACAACACTTAACAAGGGTACTTAGTATCAAATATAGTTGAGTTTCGAAACTTTATTGTATGCTCATATCAATGTGATTACGTCATAATATAAACGTAGAAATATTGTAGGCCTACTCACATGACATTGAAGGAATTTCACTTTGATCAGGCGAATCTGTGAAGAGGAATAGGCCTACATTATAATTTTCTAATATTGAAAGTTGCAGTGCCGTACTGTCATATCTCGTTGTCATAACCATCCAATCTTTCTAGCATACATCTATTTTGCTTTGCGCTCCCATCTATTCAAGGGCATTAATCCGTGGTTGAAAGTGGGGGAGGAGGACGAAGTGCAAAGAAAATTTTGGGCCGTAGGCACAAGCCATGGTTGGTGGCCAGGGTCTGCCCAGGGCCCTCGGGGATGGGCGAAGACACTGGCGTCTATAGCAATTTTTATAAGTCGTATCTAACTGATTTTAAGGAATGCAATTAACATTGATTTTCACACTACAATTTCAAAATACGGTGGCGGATCCAGAAATTCGAAATAGAAGGGGCCCAGGGAGGGACTTTTACAGATGGAGTGTAGACCACCTCATCCCCACCATGGTTGAGGCTGAAGTAAGTAAATTTATGATTATGTCGCCTCTAGTTGACCGGAAATGGCAATCTCAGACATAAATTTAAATATAATTTTCTTTTTTCTCCACTTTTAAATTTCGAAAAATTAGGCTACTGAAATGCTCATCATAAACATTTTTCAATTTATCCTGGTAATCATAATCATGCCCTCTTGCATATTTCATGCAAATATAACATTCATGAAAATAATTTATTAGGCCTATCCACTCATTAGCTTGTGACGTATTCGAAGCATGAAAAACAAATACGATAAACTTTGATTTAGTCTCTTTGCATGTACAGTACTTTCAAAATTATTCAAGAGCTTTTTTTCTTTTCTCCTATTATATAAATTCACTTTGTGCAAGTATTATTGCACACTATTTTGAGTGGAAATGCTACGGTACCGTCTAATTTACGATCAAACAGGACTAGGGAGATGGGAAGTACACAAAACATTAGTTACCGGTAGCATTTTTATTTCACAAACATAAAGGCGATTTACTTCCACGTAACATCAGAGTTCGTAAACTTGTAATATCACTAAGTAAGTCGAAATAGATAGACCTATCCGTGTCATATAATCAAGTATGCTGCGTAGCACAATAAGCAAAATATATTTGTAATCATTTATCTATTTGCCGTTAACACTGTTAAATTTATATGTAAATCATCAATCATATTATATGCTACGGTACTATTTATTTCCATCCATATTATGTAATAGAGTGTATCTGACTGTTATTTGAGCCTGTTCAACCATGGAACCTCTGTGGTCTAACGGTTATGACTCTCGCTTTGACACCAAGAGGTCGCAAGTCCGCGTCCCGTCAGAGACATTCTATTACACAATGTATTTATTTATAAGACAATATTCGTTGAGAGCTATGCTACACGATGTACCATTATGTCATTTGTTCAAACATTGTGTGTATACCTTTCTTTGGTGATTTATATAATATATAATCTATATTTATATAACATATAATCTATATATATATATACAAAAATCATCAGTAGTATACCAAAGGCCATAACTTGCCCCAACCTAGCACCACACCTCAAGGCCCACTTTAATCCCTTGTCACTCCAATCTTGCTTTACCAACAGAGATTTCTAACCCACCACCGTGTATCAATAAACCCCATAGTTGCGTGCCAGTAATGAATAATAATCCCCCTGCACTTGATGAAATTCTCCTAGCCATCAAAGACTTGAAGAACGGTAAAACATCATTAGATATCGAAGCTGATCTGCTGAAAACTGCCGCATAAATCCCGGAATTTCAGGATGAGCTGAAAAAGTACTTTAAAGAAATTTGGATAAACGAAAAACGCCCTCTCAGTGGAGTCTTAGTCGAATAATACCTAAATGGAAAAGAAAAGGCAGTGCACTAGATCCAAAACAATACAGAGCTATATCAATCGGGCCCATCCTCACCAAGGTCGGTATGAATATAGCACTTGAGCTTGTACTATGAGCAACAACTTTCAAACACCCAGTTTGGCTTTAAAGCAGGAAACGGCTGTAACGATGGTATATTCTTGATGAAGCAACTGCAAGAAGTGGCCTATCGATCTAAACGCAAGTTGTATACTTGCTACATATATTTAGCTGCTGCATTTGATCACGTAAATAGATCATTTTTATTCGAAAGTATTTATAAACGCTTTCCATCCTCATATGACACCACGAATATTTATATTATTAGGAGCCTTTATGAAGATACAAAATCTTTCGTTTCAGGCGAAGACTCTCTCAAGGATCCATTCCCTATCATAAAGTGGTGAGACAAGGCGGAAACGAAGGTCCAAATTTATTCAATCTTTTTGAAGATTATGCAATAAGGATTTGGAAGCATAGATGCTCAACAACGGAAGCAGAGAAACTATCCATACCATATTCCATTCCTCCAGCAGATAATAGGACACAGCGAAGTAACTTTCCTTCCTCTGGCTATTACAATTACCCGGACTGCGGTTACGCCGATGATATAGGAATTCATGGTCTAAAGATAATCTTCAATTAATCATCAATATCATGGTCGAAATCTTCAATGATTTTCTCCCCAAACATAAACGAGCTAAAACAGAAACCATGGTGTGGAACTGGGATGAAAACCTTGACGGCCCACTACCAAAGAGTATAATTACAATCAAAGGAACAGCGGTCAAAAATTCCAAAGATTTCAAATACCTAGGTGTATGGAATACATGTGATAACATACACATGAGTGATCGCGAGCTTAAACATCATGTATCAAGCACACGTGCTACCTTTGCAGAACATCGCCAGTTGCTTACCAACTCGAATATCCCTCTCAAACTAAGAATCAACTTAATGGATTCACTTGTTCGTTCTAGACAGACATATGGCTGCCATGCCTGGAGACCCACTCTAACTGAAATAGACAAAATTGAATCAACCTATAACTTCTTTCTTCGAAACATGGTATATGACGGTTTCAAAAGGAAAAATCCTCCCTCCATCATCCGGCACATCCAATGAGAATACTGAAATCGAATGGAGTTTCATTCGGACCAATAATGAGCTACACTCGATAACCAAAACCTCATCAATAAAGGACTTCTATCAGGCTCAACAAATAAAGTGGTGCTCGCACATTATCAGGCGTGAAAACAATCACCCTTGTAAAATGTTGGCATTTCATGTCACTAAGAATAAAAGAAAAGGTAGGTTAAAACCCTTTATTCTTGATAAAGCCGTTAAGTTTTCTGGCGTGTCAAGAAGCCAGTTCATCAAAGATAGCTTCAATGGATGTTGTTAGCCTCTAACTGACTGTTTACAAGGTATGCTGTCTATTGATTTTCTTTTCTTTTTATTCCTCACTGCATGACATTTGGACTGACTGCTCAGAAAGCCAAAAGATAAGTAAAAGGAATTGAAATGAAATGACTGGAAAGAAAGGAAAAAGGTAAGGAAAGCGGAAAAGAGAGAAAAAAAAGAGGCAAAGAAAAGCAAAGGAAAAGTTTTCTTTTTCTTTCTCTGCTCCTAAACTCTGGAACTCTCTGCCTCCTCAATTACGTATCATTTCTGATCCGCAATTATTCAAATCTACTCTTAAATCATTCCTCTTCAAATAGTTCAACTTCTTTCTAACATCCTCCAGCGCCGGTGACAAGCCAGTTTTGTTTGCTTTAATAGGCGCTTTAAAAATGTGTATTATTATTAAAAGTTAAGGGAAAGTAAAATAATATAATATAAGAAAGGAAAGAATATAAAGGAACTTAAGAAAGGAAAGGAAAGGTAAATAAACATATGAATTGTCCTAAGAAGGGAAAGGAAAGGGAATAATTATATGAAAGAAAGATAAAGAAAGAAAAGAAAAGAGTAGAAATAAGAAAGAAAAAAAGAAAGAAAAGAACGAAACATAAGAAAGAAAAGGAAAGGATATTCAAGGACCTCTATGAAAGGGTGTAAGAAAAAATAGAAAGGAAGAATGAAAGAAATGAAAATAAAGAACTAAAACGAGAAGAAAGTAAACGAAAGAAAAGAAAAGTAAATATAAGAAAAAAGAAAAAGAAAATGAAAGGATATTCAAGGACACCTATGAAAAGGTATAAGAATGAAATGAAAAGAATGAGAAGAAGGAATTATAAGAAAGGAATTATTTATATGAAAGGAAGGATAAAGAAAGAAATATAAGAACAAAAAATATAAGAAAGAAAAAGGAAAGAAAAGAATGAAACATAAGAAAGAAAAGGAAAGGATATTCAAGAACACCTGCGAAAGGTGTGAGAAAAAAAAATAGAAAGAAAGAATGAAATAAAAGAAAAGAACTAAAACCAAAAGAAAGGAAAGTAGATATAAGAAGGGAAAAAAAGAAAAGTAAATATAAGAAAGAAAAAGGAATGAAAAGAACGAATTATAAGAAAGAAAAATAAAGGTTATTCAAAAGCAACCTAAGAAATGGTAAAAAGAAAGACAAGAAAGAAAGAATCGGGATACGAAAGAAACGATAAGATAAGATAAAATAAGATATGTATGAAAAAGCATAAGAAATGAAAAGGAAAGAAAATAAATAAAGTAAATACAAGAAAAATCAAGGTTACATACGAAACAAAGAAAAAGAATAAAGATAAGGAAATATTACAACGGTAATTTAAGCTAAAGAAATAATACATAAGGAGGCATTAGAAAGAAAGGTGAAAGGAAAGAAAAGGTAGTTAAAAAGAAAAGGAAGACGAAAGAAAGTAAAGGTAGGTAAATAGGAATCACGGAAAGTTAAGGAAGCATAGAATGAAAGTAAAAGAGAAGATAAGTAATTAGACGGTTAGCTAATACTAAAATAGAAAACAAAAACAAGGAACATGAAAGTGAAATATAAGGTCAGCTAACATACTTTTTCCCTCTAGGGTCCTCTTTTTGTTTTTCACTGTTGTAGCTTGTCAACTACTGTGATAGTCAATGACAACCACTTGTTCTGTCGATTCAGAATGGTTAAGAACTGTATTATTAATACATATTTAAATATAAATATATATATATTTATATGTAAATATATATATAAATCACCAAAGAAAGGTATTCACATAGTGTTTGAACAAATG